ATGTTGTAACAGTTTATGACATTTTGCCACTCGCTGTCAGAGCTAATGGAGGTATGGAGAATATTGTGCAATCGGGTTCTCCAATTCTATCTGATTTTTTTTATCGAAGTTGTCTCTTCTAACCTATCAAAAGTCGAGGTCGACCCGCAAAGCAGCGGTTACACTGGCCGCATTTTTGTTCAGCGGATTGGTTCGCTTTCGCGTCCAAGTAAAACTTTCATTCGGCATTGTGACTGTTTCTCTGAGGATGTCAAACTTAAAACCATTTACGCTCTTTTGATCCCACCGCTGCCTGTTATGATTGTTTATTCGTCGCGGCTAATCTCCATATCTGGAAGTTGTTCTCCTCTGCGCAACCAGGGAACACACCAGATCGTCCAGCAGTTTGGACACTAATACATTCAGTAATTTCATTCTGCGATATCGTGTGCTATTGTCCCAAAATAAGTACGGTATGGTTCTAATACTGCACCGAAATTGAACCTTACTACAGCTTTACGCGTCCATACTTGCAATGAAATGCAGCAGTTCACCGTTTTATAGTGTTCTCTTATTATTGTAGTACAATACTATTTATTTTCTTATTTAGCCCTTGAAATAAACTTTAGAAATTGTTTTCAGTAGCTCCACTAATCTTTATTAGTGCTCTTTGTGTTGACATACTCTGACCATACTGCAATGGAAATATTTTGTCATGGTATGTTCTGAAACTGAGATCTGAGCTATATTCATCTTTGTTCAGGGGCTGCAAAATCCTACGTATCGCGTTGAAGCTGACTATTCAAAATCTCACATCAATTTAGTTGTTTCTTTAATCGGCTTTAAAACGAAATTCCACTTTTCGTTGTTGTTGCTGAAAAACGTTTATTTTTGTTACACCTTTTTGTGAAATTTATTTTAGTTTCGATCTGAGAAAAAAAGTAAAATCTAACAGCAATAATTGTAAACTAGAACAGAAATTTCGAAAACTGCATTAAAACAAATGAATAAGTTGGTCAGTCGGGTGATTGACCAGTACCGACATTTCGGACCGTCTCTCACGAGCTTCCTTCACAACGATCCGAATTGGTTCGCGTAGTTAGTTGTGTGGTTCGCAGCTGTTGTGACATCTGGAGCCGAAGATATACGATTGGCCCGTGCTG